CGCTCGGCTTTTCCTTCTCGAGGCCCCGCCTCCTGCAACTTGTCAAAGATCCTCCGCTGTCGTTCCGCCCCGAGCCCGTGGGGGCCACCCGGGTGAGGAGGGCCCGCTCTGTGTTCAACAGGTGGCTCTGAATAGCCGCGCTGCGCGTACCTTGCTGGAAGGGACGCGGGTCGGGGGACTGCACGGTCGCAAGAGCAATCTGGCGCCTGTACAGACAATTTGATGACGTCTTCCAGCACTACACCAGAGGAAGGAAGGCCCGAGGCAGCCTGGTTATGTGTGGAACGAGAGAGGAGGACGTCCATAGCATGAGACTGCACATCTGAGATGTCCTCAAAGAGGCAATGCTTGCAGGACCTCCCTGGGCTCCCCCATTTAGCTGTGAGGCACCGATGGCGAGTGTCTCACCCACAAACAGGAACTCACACGGGTCAAAGCACCTAACTTTTAGCCCCCCCCACACACACACACAGAGAGAAACAGTTGAGAAACACCTATTTTACTCTAAAATCAGGACCATTGGTGTTATGTTAAAGCTCATGGGGAACCTTGGCGGATCCCAGCACAGGAGAGGGTGACCGAGAGAGGGACAAACACGCCAGGTAGGTAGAGCTTAAGTGAAGTCTTATTAGAAAGCGGAGGGGGGAGAAAAGAGATAAAAAAAAAAAACACAGATACAGAGAGAGGACAGAAGAGAAGAGGAAGACAGGAAAAGTCCTGTCTGCTCCAGGGGAACAGCGGGAAAGAGAGGAGAGCATAAGCGGGTCGGGGGTCTTTCTTTTAAAGGGGCCCTTTGCACCTGTGTGCAGACTAGTGGTCATGGAACCCTGCCCTGACCAGGGTATCGCCTGAGTGCATTCTGCCAGGTGACAGGAGCAGGCCAGCATAGTGCCCGAATCCTTACAATTAAGCTAGTTTCCAACCGTGCCCCACTATCAAATAGAAAGTATGAGTTCAGTCCACAGCCAAGTTTGGAATAGCATTTCACTCAGTTTTATGAAATAAAAGCAGCATGGTGATTTTGTGTTCACCATGTGCCTTCTTCTGAGTAACCAGAAAGTAAAATCTCCCTATAACTTGACTAGTGAAAGAATACCTGAGTGACTTTCCCTACTGCTGTGATAAAGTACTCTGACAACCATAACTAAAAGGAGAAAATGTTTATTTTGGTCCACAGTTCTAAGGTGTAATCTCATGTCAATGCGAAAGCCAAGGGGGCAGTAGCTTGAGGCAGCCTATCACTTTGTATCCAGTTAAGAAGATACAATGCTTGTGCTCGGCTCTTCCTTTATAGTCCAAGACCCCAGTCCTGGGGACGTGGGGCCAGGTCTTCACATCTCAATTCCTCAATCAATTTAGCCCCTCACAGGCTTGTTAGGGGCCTTCCCACCTCAATTTTAGATGCTATTAGAATTATCAGGAATTTTAAGGCAACTGTGTCCACTGTTTTTGTCACTGAAAAAGAAACAGTTTAAATGATATTGATTTATGTTGGCTCATGTCTCAGAAGTTTCAGTACTAATTGTCTTGCTGCATTGTAATGGCCTGTGATGAGGCAGAACATGCTGAGAGGTAGAGGTAGGGGTCTGGCAGATGAAGCAGCTCATCTCATAGAGGTCAGGAAGCAAAAAGGGAAGCATGGAAGGCCTTATGCAGGATACAGCCCTAGGGCATCGTGCCTCTTTACCTATTTCATGTAAATAGGCCATCTTAATTGCTTTTCTATTGCTGGGGTAAGACACCATGACCAAAGCCACTTAGAGAAGAAAGGGTTTATTGGGGACTTACAGTTTCAGAGGATTAGAGTCCATAACCATTATGCTGGGGAGCATGGCACCAAGCAGGCAGGCATGGAACTGGAGTAGTAACTGAGGGTTTACATCTAGATCCATGAGCACAAGGTAGGGAGAGCCACTGGAAATGACCCTAGTCTTTTGAAACTTCCAAGCCTGTTGCCAATGACACACCTCCTCTAAACAAGGCCACACTTCCTAATCCTTCCCATACAGTTCCTCCAATGGAGGACCATGTATTCAAATATCTGAACCTGTGAGGACATTCTCTTTCAAACCACTACAGTCCACCTCTGATCCCCATAGGCTGTAGCCATGATGCAAAATGCATTCAGTCCGACCTCAAAAGGCCCCATAATCTTTCACAATCTCAACACAGTTTAAAAGTGCAAAGTCCAAATCTTTCCTGAGACTCAAGACTGTAACCCTCTGTAAAATCAAGTTACATACTCCCAAAGTAAAAGCGCACAGAATACACATTGCCATTCTAAAAGGTAGAAATGGGGGCATAGAGAAGAAATATGGGACCAAAGCAAAACTGAAAACCAGCAGAGTAAACTTCATAAATCCTGTCACTCCATGTCTATTGTCAAAGTGTTTTGCTATGTTCCCCTTTAAAAGGGCCTTGCCCACCCCTCTCTCTCTCTCTCTCTCTCTCTCTCTCTCTCTCTCTCTCTCTCTCTCTCTCTCTCTCGCTGTTTCTACTCCCTGTGTGCAGTGCTCCCTGGCAGACTATGACTCCAGCATCTATGGCATCCTGGGGTCTCCAGTGCAATCCAGATTTCACTTTCATGGCTTCATTCATTGGCCTCTCAGGACCTCCATGTAGAGGCTTCCCAGCTGCACCTGTTTCCCCCCCCCTAATTTTGAGAAGGGAAGATTCCACAACTATATTATTTGAGTATCCTTCATGACTTTAAATCCAGAACCGCAAGGTCAATACTGCCAAGTTTGGCTGCCTGCTTGGGGTGGAGCCTGGACTCCTTCTTGAAACACATTTGCAGAAGCCTTGTTGCATTTTGGGGATAGGAAAATCCCTCAGACCTTGTCCTTTCATAAGGTACAGGATTAGCTGGGTGGAGTCTTGCCTAAGGACACTGCCG